CCTCTCAGGTAAAGGGAACCTTGTATTTTCAACTCTGCAGTGGACTTATTGCCGGTAGTTCTGCAAGGCACCGTCCCTGCCTGGTGGTTCCAGACTCCCCTACGCCCCCCGCCCCCAGACCACAAGCTTTGAAATCCATCATCTACCATCTACCTTGATATTTGGAGAAAAATCGCTACAACTTTGAAAGATTGTACCAGCCCAGCCTGCAAGTCCTTCTTCAAGTGACTGAAATATACTGGGTCCCTTCTACACTGCTTCGTGGCTCTAGTGAGGACAAGAACACAGGTGCCCTGGCGTGAAGCTACATTCAACCATAGACGGAGGGAGGTCCCAGGGCACCTCTGTTGTCAGTGACAGCATCAGTTCGATACTTGTCAGGAGGGCGTTCTTCCTTTAACTTAATCACTGCAGGACAGACCTGGAGTTTACCAGCCGACATGCCTTCTTCGGTTCACTGGGAAGCCCTCCAAGTATCTGCTTTACCGCTCTTCGCTGGAAGAAGACAGTTTGCTGAGCTTTGAAATTGTGGGGTTCTTTTTCTCTTTATTTTTGTCACACTGGCATGAAACCCAGGGCCTTGAGCATGCTAGATGAGCCTTTTACCGCTGAGCTGTGCACCAGCTTGGCATTTATATATGTTCTAACCCAAGTGTCGAGAACAAAAACCGAGTAGTTTAGATACTTGAGCATTTGGGACCATCCTGGAAAACCTGGGTGGGAGAAGAATCCTCTTCTCAGCCATTCTCTCCTCTTTGCCCCATGCAGAAGTCACACCCAGCTCTAAGCTGGACTCAGAAGCTTCAGTATACACAGTTTGTCAGGGAATCAGAACATAGTGCTCCTTGGCACCTTCCTTCCTCTCTGACCCCTTCACTTGTCCACATAGAAAGCCAAGTGCCCTGCACCATGCTGGTTCCGCCTGGAGAGGGTGAGAAGGGAGGGGGATGGACGGTGGCCTGCTAGGACCCAGACTTCAGCCTGCTACATTCCATGCCTCTCTTTGGAAGTGGGAAATCTGACACAGTACAGAAAGTCAACACAAGCTGAGCAGTCCTAATGCAGAGATCGGACACCGCAAATTCAAAACCTTTTGTGTTAATGTGATACAACGGGCGGGAATACCCATCTGCGATGCTCTGTTTCATACAGGACATGATTTGAATGGCAGCCTGAACCCATGCTGTGTGTATGAGGGTCACACGAAACAGGAGTTTCATGTTTGGCTTGGGTCCCTTTCCCAAGACACCTTATTTCATTTGTGCAAATATTAAAACAAACAAACGAAAAATCTAAAAGCCAACCAGGAACATCTCCACTCGGGAGTGTCTTGGCTAGGGATGCTCCATCGTCCTCAGAGTGCATTGTGGAGGATCAGGGTATAAGACATGGGCAGTGGTTACTACTTTGACTGAGTCTGGTCTATCATGAAGACTGTTTCTGTCTCTCCTTCCTGGCAGGTCTTTCTCTGCTACAGAGCCACTCCTGAGGACATTGGCCATGCTTGGCAGAAGTACAGGTATCATCAATCTGAACATAAGAAATGCTACCTTCTGCAGGTCTTTGAGATGTGGTGACATTCTTGGAGGTCATAGGTGAAGGATGAGGGATGACATGAATACCTTCATGTGCATGTATGCAATGTATATGTACCTGCTGTTCTAAACCACGTTATCCTTAGCTTCACATGCACGGTTTCTAGGCTGACATGCAGGATTAACTAACTTGACTATTTTTCTTCTTACTGGAAATAAGACTTGACTTGTTGTACAAAATGCCCCTCACGGATTCCCTCTTAGACATGTGTGTCCTATCTATGGAGGCCTTCTTACATGGTGGATGGCTGGTAGAGAGGGGGAGACTAAGGCTGGATAGACTGTGATGTTTGGACGAGTTACTCTGGGTCGCTGGGACAGATTGGTGTGGGACAAAATTAATTGTCTGGAATCTTATTTACCCTTTTTCTTTTTTATAAAAAGGAGGGAAATGTGACACACACAGCATGGGTGCACCTGGAGGACATTCTCTTATGTGAAATAAGCTGGTCACAAAACACAAACACTTCACGACCTCACTTGTGTGAGGTCCCCAGAGGGGCCAAATTCCCGGAGACAGAAGACTGGTGCTGACTGCCAGGGGCTAAGGGGAGGGTGGACTAGAGTTTAACAGGCGCAGGGCTCCACCTGGGGGAGAGGATGACCTTCCGGGATGAACGGTGATGGCTGCACTTATGTAAGTGTTCTTGGTGCCACTGATCTGTGCACTTGAGGTGGGTAGGAAGGGAAAATCATGTGATGTATTTTAACCCAATAAAAAGGTGGAAAGGAAATGGTCTGCCCTCTTTTTAGAGACATTAGAATTAGGTGGCTTTGTTCCTGTGATTTTTTTTTTTTTGAGATAAGGTTTGTGTGGTTGTGGAAACAGCTACAGGGGACAACCATGTTCAATTGTGCAAAGGCAGAGTGCCCGAGGTTCCAGGTGCTGCCTTGGAGAGGGCACCAAGGAAGGGTGGGAGAGGGAGGCACTAGCTGTTCATCTTACATCTCATTTCTTTCTTTTCTCATAAAGGGAGATGAGCAGCAGCCATAGCATGTACTTGGGTTAAGTCTGAGTAATGGGTACACGTGTATTTGTCCTGTTTTATCAGATAATTTACACTAAACTAATTTTATAGTTGAAATGAGAAAATGGAATAGAACAAGCCAGTGAAGAGGGAGGATCGGGTGGATGCTGAAGAATTGGTCTAAGTTCTCACAGACTGTCCTCCTCGCGTCTCTTGTTTTAATTCGCCATCTTCTTTCCTTCCACCTTCCCCTATCGCTTCATGGAGCAACCCCAAATCACCCTGGCTCCTCCTGCTGCGCCTACCTGAGGCAATGCCCCTAAAGAGAGCAACAGATAGATTTTTGTTCATTCCCCATGGGTCCTTGAGATGTCCTTTAATCTTAAGAAAATTGAACAATTTTTCCAATCTGCTCTTTCTTGCCCACGGCACCCAAGACTGAAGTTTTTCTGTGACCATCTCAGCCCCACCTGTGTTACACATCCAGGGCACTATACACATGCTGTTTGTGTTTGAGGTGTCGAAATGTTTCATGAACAAACCTGATTCCGGCCTCATTTTCCAGACTCGCTATTGCTTTCCTGGGCTTCAAAGATGTTCTTCTAAGAAGAGCTACCAACTGTGGTTCCCCAGGGAGCTCACAGAAGCACAGCTGGCATCATCATCTCTGGGAGACACGGGTCATCCAGGGAGGGAATGGGCATGAGGGCCGAAAAACCAATTGTACTGAAACCATTGACTCCCTCTTCCCTGTCTTAACCCGTGAACCTTGCCGATTCTTACCCTGTCAGCTCTGGACAGCTGCATCCTTCTTGGCATCTGGAAAGAGTGCCACAGGACTCTTCCTCCTGAGTCCCCTGGCCCCTGGTGTCACCAAGGGCCAGGTTTGGTTCCAGCAAAAGATATACTCCTTGTGAAGAACATCTGTTTGCCTGGACACTATCTTGTCTACTGGTGTAGTTTCTGGCTGTGGGCCAGTTCTTCAAGCCCTGGGCCCAGCTGGAATTGTAAATTCCTTCATGCAGGAGAAATGGAGCTGTGCCTGTGGCACTGTAGACACCTGCTAAAAGTCACCGATGGGTTAACCAAGGACGGAGAGCTTCCAGGTTAAAATGGCCAGTGTGGGTTTTGTCCCTCCATCCTGGCTGTCTCTGAGATGGGGACCACTGAGCCTTTTGATCCTATGCAAAGTCATACATACCCCAAGTCATTTGTTTATTCCACAAGGACCCATCCTCTAATAGCCCATTCATCTATGAAATCATTAATTAGCCTATTGATGAAGACGACGTCACACAGGATCTCCCTGTACATGTGCAGGGTGACATCGTGAAGTCACACAGGATCTCCCTGCACACACGTGCAAGGTGACATGGTGAAGTCACACAGGATCTCCCTGCACACACGTAAAGTGATGCACCCTATGAACGAAGTCACACGCTGTCAAGGGCAGAGGCTACCTGGTGTCAGTCCTTCTGAGCTAGGAGGGCAAAAAACCTGGGGAACGCCAGTGCTCTTCTCTGAGATAAGAGAAGCTGGCTCCTAAACCTTGTACAACAAAGCACGGGGCCAATGATGCTCAATTTGAATCTTAAAGAAATTAGTAGGTCTTCTCTGTCTGCTTACTCTTTGAGAGTATAACTTAATTTCAGCACAAATGAATTAATGTTTCATTGTATGTAGCTTTTTTTTTCAGAAATATAAATACTGAGGGGCTGGAGAGATGGCTCAGTGGTCAAGAGCATTGCCTGCTCTTCCAGAGGTCCTGAGTTCAAATCCCAGCAACCACATGGTGGCTCACAACCACCTGTAATGAGATCTGGTGCCCTCTTCTGGCCTGCAGACATACACACAGACAGAATATTGTATACATAATAAATAAATAAATATTTAAAAAAAGAAATATATATATACTGAGCACATAAACACAATTAACACCTACAAAAGACTCCGAGGGGTTGGGGAGATGACTTAGCAGGCAAATGTGTTTGCCACCAAACTGGAGGATCTGAGTCCCATCCCCAGGACCCACATGGTGAAAGGAGAGAACCAACTCTGCACGTTGTCTTTTGACTTCCACCCTTGAACTGTGGCCTATGTGCATGCGTGTGTGTGTGTGTGTGTGTGTGTGTGTGTGTGTGTGTGGACACTCTCTCTCTCTCTTTCTCTTTCTCTCTCTCTCTCTCTCTCTCTCTCTCTCTCTCTCTCTCTCTCACACACACACACACACACACAAGATAAACACACAGACAAGTAAATGCGAATCCTTTTAAATTATTCTGACCTAGAACAAATTTAAGGTTCTTGCAATTTGGCCGTCTACGATCCTTCTACAACCTGTGGCCTAATCCCATGCCAGTTTAAAACAGGAACTAGATTGATGCAGGGTTGTAACCGAACACAGCAGGGAGTCCCGAGCACAGCGCCACCTCCCACGCGGGCTTGGCAGAGTTTATTTTTAGACTCAAGAATGCCTGGTGACTTAACTTAAGCAGGACAATCCAAACATTTGTTCCACTTCACTGTGATAAGATGCCATTCCCTTTCTCCCTGTCACTTCACCATCCTTTCGAACTGGCTTCACTGTAAGTAGACATTATGAATTTGTTTTGAGGCTGAGTCCTTTTTATTAGCTGTTTTGGAACTCTTAGAGGTCCCTCTGAGCTCTGAGATTAAAAGCCCATGCCCCCATACCTGGTGAAGCATATTTTCAGGCAACAAATTTTATTTTAAAATGTCTATCTTCTTCATGCAAATTAGAAAGCGTAGCATGTCCATATATTTCCTGTGTCAACTAGAGAAAAATATTCCAGGTTTGTCTGCCACTCAGTCTGTGTGGGTAACAGATTCTGCATCTGCAGTAAGGGTTGGGGACTCTTTTCCTTCATCCTCTTTTCCTTTAGGAGACTTATTAGACTCAGAGTCAGGGACGCCTATGACATGACTTTACACTAGAGTACCAATAGTTGATACTTTCCGTAGACATCTCCTCTAAAGATGCTGGCATTGTAGGAGGCGTGAGAGGCTGAATCCAGAGATGAGTACTGGAAGGCTTATCTGTACCATCGTCTTCTGAACGCCACTCCAGAAATATTCACTGGGGTAACAAGTGCCTGGCTCATTTGCCCCTGCTTTACTGGCTAGCACATGGACACTTTGCCTCCTCTTCCTGGGGGAGGGCGTCCAAGAACACTCACGAAGACTTGTCCCACGGGGCGAGGAGCAGCTCCTGTTCGCCAAACCTGCTGTGAAAGTTCAGGCTGTGGGATCTTGAGCTGAGGGAATGGACCGCCTTTCTGTGCCTTTGGCTTCTCTGCCTGGGTGACGGTGTATCTGCTCATGGTCGCCACTGACACAGCCATACAGAGGGCGAAAGATCCCCAGGCGAGGCTGCAACAGAAGGCACAGTTAGCAAAGGCCTGAAGTGGGATTCTAGAGCTGCCCGGGGGGTTTGCCACCCACCCACTTGGGGGTAGGCAGACACTACTGTTATGCATGGGGATGCTGTTTTGTGCCTTTAGGCGCCTCTTAGGCTAAGATAGGAGAGTGCAGAGTTTACAGGGAAGAATGACATCAAGAGCTCATTGCACTCCCCGCAGCCTCCCGAAGGGAGAGCTTCAGAGCAACAAACAGTAGGGAGAAGGTGGGAAGGCATGGCTGGCGTTTGTGAGAGAGTGGCTGATCCATAGAAGACAGGGGTAGCACAGTACTTAGGGGGAAGGGTTGCCAGAAGACAGGAGGAAGTCTACTGCATAGCCTCACTGAGAGGGGACACACACATACACACACACTCACTAGGACATCAGGCAAAACCCTGACAATGGACGATGACTGACCGGCCCTCAGATGTCTTCCACGCCACAGACGCGATCTCACGCCCTTGTGCCTCTGAGAGCATAGGTTTGGTTCCTGAAGGCATGGGCACAAAGAGCCCAGATCCCAAGATAGGAGGGTGTGTGGGAGACAGAGGGGAAGGCTGATCTGAAAACAGGGCTTTTATGACAAGGTGGCTGTGGAGCAAAGGCTGTTTCGCTCTTTTCTCACGCCTGACCTCAGAATTAAGGTTAGAAGACAAGCGGAAGAAACCCCCACCCCCTCAAAAGTGAAACAAAAAGAGGAAGAAGCTAGAAAAGAAAAGAAAAAGACCTTGGGTAATGAACACCAGTGATCCAACTAGGAAGAGTTCTAAGAGAACAGAAAACCATGAAGAAGAAATAGCAGAAGTAACACAGGAAAAGTTCCCTGAAGTGTGGGATTCAAGACAAGCAGCTCGACGGGAGGAACATCCAGAAAGCCGCAGACTTCGAGTCAGAATGGTGCCAACCCCTTGACAGCAACGACACAGGCAGGAAGGAAACAGAACAGTGCCTTAAATATTCCAAGGGCAAAGGCTTTTCAACAGGCTTTCGGACATTTTTTGTTTGTTTTATTATTTTTGGCCAGACGATCAAGCACAGAGTACCAAATAAGCATTGTTCTAGACCTGCAGGGACGGAATCAGCCAACCTCTCTCTATTGATCTTCAAGTGTGTATAATGCTGGCCAGAAGGCCTCGGAACCCAGAGCACCAGTGACATGGCTTCAGTGACCCAGGTGGAAGGAGTAGGGTCCGGAAACCCAGTTACACAAATCAGCGTCTTCAGACGGGGAGACCAAAGCCGAGAAGGGTTTAAAACAGGTGCATCTTGAGGATTAAAGGCAGGATATGGGAGCAAAGGTCAAACGTGAGTTTTACCGACAGGAAAATAACTGTCGGCACCAAATGAAAATACAAGGACAATTCTCCACGCAAAGCTTTTATTTGGCACAAATAATAAATAAAAGTACAATCTGGGACACCTGGACTGGTGGGGTAGCCTCTGGCATCTCTGGAGAACAAAGGAAAATGCTGGTCGTTGAAAAAGGAAAACGGATAAGCTGTCGTGTGTTCATTGGGAGCCGGGGGCGAGCCAGCCGCTTGGGGAGGGGCAGGGGACAGCGGGTGACTGGTGTCTGTAGTTTCGGGGTAAGACGTGTAATCTTAGTGGTACATCTCCATCCTTGTGGTTTGGGGTCAAGCTTTGCTGCGCCCAGTGTGTTAGGGTTCTTGTTCAAGTGGTTGACTCTCCCATGCTTCTAGCTTTCTTGGTGTAACACATAGAAATTCCTGCCTGGATTTTTTAATTATTATTTTTCAAAAGTTCCAAGTATCAGGAGAATTATGAGTGAATGATCTCAGTATATGACTTTCTCTGGCTCTGTTTTGTCAGGTTTTGTCACAGGTGACTCAGTTTTAAAGCTATCAACTTTCTCCTAGCAGCAGAGGTTATTGTGTGGGAGGAAATGTAAGTCTAAGTACATTGTTTTTTTTTTTAAAGATACAATGTGTTTGCGGCTGGTGAAGCAGATCAGCAGTCAAGCACTTGCCTAGCATGCGTAAGTATGATCTCTACCACTGCAAAAGCAAGAATTTACAAAGGAATAAAGAAATCCTCTGTGATCTTGCATGGCATGACTGAGTCTTTCCAACAGGAACAGAAACTAGGTCTATAAGGGTCAGGCACAGGAAACATTTCTCCAATCTGTATTTAAAAAATCTAGCCGACCATTTATCAAGTATTTTATAAAGACAACATCTTTATTCTCCACAGCCTGATGGTAAGGCCTTATTGCTGATGATACGACTTATATGTGTCGTTAAAGATGGAAGAATCAAGCTGATGCCCCACTGGAAGCTTCACCCCTACTGGCTAGCCTTCATGGTACTTGAAGGTACTTAGTAAGTTAACAGAGGAGAAAGGTAATCACCAATACCACCCAGCTACAAACCCTGCAACCCACCACAGTTACTTGTAAGACTTAATGATGTAGCAAATGATGTAGTAAAAACACAGATGTTTTTAGAAGTAATCAGCCACTTTTTAAAATTGGATTTAAGGTCCCCTCTTTAAGATGGAATCCATACCTGATACTGCTAAAGGGGAAAGAATCTGAGACCAGTTAGGTCGTGGGCCCTAGGGAGGAACCTACTACTACTGCTTTATAAAAGGAACACAGCGATCAAATGAGATCCAGTGACATGCTGATACACCCACATATCAGAGAACCAATCCACCCTCATCAAAGAAGTTGAAGTAGATGGTAACACAGAGACCCACAGCTGGACAATGGGCAGAGAGTGAGAGACTTTGGAGCACTCAGCTCCAAATGAATGCCCTCACCCAGACACACACACAGGTAAAACACCAATGCACACAAAATAAAAGCAAATTAAAAAAAACTCAAGAAAATAAATCCTAAAAAGCTCTTAAAAAGTCAAAGTGGGTGATTTCATTTTACCACTGAGAAAACTGGGTTATGGAAAGGTTGTACTACCAACTGAGTCACAGGAGTGGCAGATAACAGTCCTATGACAATGTCTATTTTCCTACAAAAATCTGTGTTCATCTCTTCTGCTCCACCAGAGCTTGAGCAGGGTAACCACGCCACTTACCAATAGGACCAGCCGTAGTCCCACGTCTGAGGCCGCCAATCTTCTGGTCCCAGGTTCACAGTGATTTGGAAACTAGTTGTGTACATCATGTGGGCCACCATGCCCAGGAGTCCTGTGTAGGTAAAGCTCTGTGAGCTACAGTTTAGAACACAACACAGGGGAAACTCTGCTCTACCCCGCCTGTGTTGGATGCTGGGCGCACTCTACCATGCACAGATCCCTGTTCAGTATCTGCACTTACACATCCCTAAACTATCCGTCTGGTATCTTATCCCCACAGTAGAAACTAAAGGGACACCAGAAACAGGCCTGATCACAACCCAGAAGAACACTGTAGATGCCAGGACCTGAGCAGGAATCGCCGCAAGTCCATGGCCTGCTCTTTGCTACGGAAGATCTAGCAATCAGATCTTATCTTTCTACTTACCCGTGCTGATCCCTGGGCAAGATGTGCTACCTTCATCAAACACAGGGGTGATGCACAAGTTGGATTGCTACACATTGACAGAACTTTGTGTGTCTGTCTGGAGGCTGGAAGGAAGCCATATGTTCAGGGTTCTATCTTGGTGGAGACATTAACTTTAAGGACCTTAGAAGGCTAAATTAAGTTCTCAGAAAACGGAGGTAGCATTAAAAAAATGAAAGAGTTCTTTGTGGAATATGTATACCAAAGGTTGGTAATAATTTTGAAGATATTGGAATGTATATAGTAGACACACTCGTATTTTGTCTTCATCAGAGCTCAGCTATGACAGTTAACTTACTGAAATGAAGTAACTCCCCTAGAGTGACTTAGTATATACTTACTTATATACAAGCATTGTGTACCAGAGGTCTGAGCTCAGGAGGATTCCTCTGTGGATTCAAGCCTAACCCCTCTGCTAAGCGAGATTATTGCTGTTCCCAGCATCAGTGCATCCTCTTCCCTGCCTGTGACATAAATGGGTATGTGTTTCTCTCCCCACATGTGCCCATCTTTTTTTTTTTTCAACACTACTTGCACCCAATGGAATCAGTCCAGTGACTTGTCTAGAAGATCAGCTGTCTTACTAAGCTGGCCAGTGATTGGAGGGAGCCTATTCTCTGGTTTGAAGCATCACGTCCTCTCTGTGGGCCAGGGGGAAGACTGCCCCTGCTAGGAAATACCTGCCAGCACCATGAGGATGGCCACCGAGGCATCCACCTTGAGCCAGTTGCATCCAGAATGGCAATGACTCACACTGCAGCCCAGGAAGATGACACCTGCCAGTATCAGGAAGATATCCAAGACTTCAGCCCCAATGGAGAGCCACAAAACACCTATAAACAGAAAGGACAGAAATGCTGTGCATTCAGAATCCATAACTGGAAGGTTTGGTCCCTCGGTTTTATCACTAAGACACTTTCTGTTCTTATAATAAAAGCTGGAGGCTAGGCATTTTGTAAACAAAAAGATCTCTTCAACTCCCAGTTTTGGGCGCTGTAAAGTCCCAAACAGTTCTTGTAAAACTTCCTTAGCTATCTTTCACCATGAGCTTGGCATCACGGTGGGACCATGCATGAAAAGGAGAAATCCAGGCTACCATGAAGTCAGAGGGACAGGAGAGAGGCCGGGAGAGGCCAGGCTTGTTCTCTTCTAACACTCTCTCCTGGGAACTAACTCAGGGTTGCAAAGGATCGACTCCTTCTGAGCAGCAGCCCAAAGACCTTAAGCCTCCCTTGGTCTCCACTTCTGAAGGTTCCTCATCACCTCTCAGTAGCTCTACCCTGAGGACCAAGTTTCCAGCATAAGTACTCCCTGTGGACACAGGTAAGCAGGAGCGAGGCAAGTCAGCAAGCCTTCAGTGTGGAAACCAAAGGCACCTTTGTTGAGTCCTTTGTTGGTCAGTCAAGAGGATCCTAGGGCCTCGAGGACGGTATAAAGACTGCCCTCAGAAGGGAGGGAAAGGGAACCATAAGCAAAACCCTGGTGTAGGGCTGCAAGGTACTCTGGGAATGTCCACCTCCCAGCTTAGAGTCAGTATATTTTATTACAATGGAGACATTGTCTCTGGTCTTTACAGAAAACACACAGGGGCTGGTGAGATGGCTCTGTGACTGAGAGCACCTGCTGCTCTTGTAGAAGACTGGCATTCAGGTACCAGCGCCTGAGTCTGGTGATTCCCAATCACCTGAAGCTCCAGCTCCAGGGGGATCCCCACTCCTCTTCTGGTCTCTGCAGAAGAGGCATGCAGATTCAGTCACACTCCAACACACAAATCAAAAATAAAGAAGATACAAAACCTTAAATATGAGGGCAGAAGGGTCTGAACATTTAAGAGCTTTGGGTATGTTCCAGTTCTACCAACATCTCTTGTTTCCATTCGAGCTGCGTGTGTACCCGCGCTGCGTGTGTACCCGCGCTGCGATCGCAGCTGGAGCTGCGTTCTGGAGATGTGGGGTGGAGAACGGGTAGGAAGAGACAGAAGGGAAATGGAAATTTGTAAAAGTCCTACTACCGACAAGGCAAGCCAGGTGATGGGACAGAGGAATACCTAAGACTAACATGATCCTCTCTGCAGCTTCATAAGGGCTGTGTTCCCTCTGGGAGAGCAGATACCCAGAAAGCAAGCATGAACTCAACGGGAGGTGGAGAGAAGAAAGCACATGCAAGGCGAGGTATTCCAGAGCTCGTGTCTTCCCGACTCTGCCTTTTTTTTACCCGCAGAGCTTAATATTTATGGTCCGGGAAGTTGCACACTCCACCAATCAGTCTCCTGTCCCCCTGAGAAGCTGACTACCGTCTTGCAGGAAGCACATGGTGGGGTTATAAGGCACACAAATGAAGCCTGGGTTGACTCGCGGGAAAAACCATATCCAACCATCTCATCCTTTCCCCATATCCAAGAAAACAATGGTGAGGGCCCCTGACTGAAAGCACAGTGCTTACCTTGTGCCTCGGTGGGCACCACCCCCAGGAAGCATTTGCATCGCTCACCTGAAAGACAAGGAAAATTCAGCCAAGCACAAACAGACAGCGGACAGAAATGTGCTATGTCAAGATGACTCTAGTCGGCTGTAAGAAAAACAAATTTGCAGAAAATTGGGTGAAATTAGAAAAATGGTATTCATGAGTGGTAATCCAAGTCCAGAAAAATAAATACTGTATATCCCAGGCCAATTCTAGCATGTTACCCGGAAGTATGCATGCCCAGGTGGAAAGGATCATCCTGCCTTTCCTAAAGCAGAAACTAAAAAGGATGCTTCACAGCTTGGGGGGTTGGGATTGGGCAGAGCGACCCTAGTGGTGGGAGGGTAAAAACAGAGCCAAGTGGAGCTGAGGAGGCAAAGTGAGGAAGGGGGACAGGCAGAGGAAGTGGGGGCAAAGGGAGGTCAGCAGTGAGAGCAGCAAAAGATCGTGGGCCTCATGTGACAGGTCAGTCCCCGAGATGCAGCTCCCGTGACTTTCTCTACCTCCACAGGAAGTCTCCAGACTTCGCTGAGCCTTGCTTTCTTTATCTCAAACTGGGTCTAAGCAAAGTGTGGAGTAGAATAGTTGTGAAAACATGTTACAGATTGCCGCATGCGTTTTCGTGCTTAATTATTGATAGAGGCAGTACAAGGATCTCTGTTTTACAGATCTGAAAGTCACGCTCAAAGTAAGTTACAAAGTTGGTAGAGTTAGCATTCACAAAGCCCTAGGTTTAATTCCTAGTACTGGAAAGAGTGGAAGGAAGGAAGGAAGGAGGGAGGGAAGGAAGGAAGGAAGGAAGGATGGAAGAAAGGATGGAAGGAAGAAAAGAAGGAAAGGAGAGGAGAGGAAAGGAAAGGAAAGGAAGTGGGGCTTTCCTGCCTGAGGACTGGTATATTTTGCCACATCACTACTTGCAATCTCTCTGCCTAATGCTTGGAGGCATGTATTAGTCTGTTTTCTACTATAACACAATACTGAAGTCCAGATATTTTACAAAGAAAATAAGTATTTTGTAGCTCACAATTCTGGACTTTTAAGAGCAAGAGGACAACTTCTGCTTGGCTCTGATGAGGGCCTGGCCTTCCAGTGGGGGTGAGCACAAGATAGAGAACAGCCACTGTATGACAGGAGGCAAGAGGAATTTACCCTCTCAGGAATTAACCAGGATCTCAGGACAAAGAGCATAGCACCCATGATCGAATTGTTTTTCACTAGTCCTGCCTCTGAAAAATCCTACTGCCTTAAATCACTGCACGGGACCAGGATCAGCAGATGAACCTTTTGGGAACACCCTCAAACCTCATCCCAAGCACATGAAAGGAGTGAATGTCCTTAGTCTGAGGAGAGCCTTTTTCAGAAGTAATGAAAGAGAAGCCAGGAGTAGGGCAGGGGCAGCTAGGAACAGGGTAGGGGCAGGGCAGGGGCAGGAACAGGGGCGGGGAATGCTAGGGGAAGGGACAGGGGCAGGGGTAGAGGCAGGGGAAGCCAGGAGCCAGGCAGGGGCAGGGCACAGAGCCCCAGAAAGCCAGCTGAACAGATTAAGAGAGTTCCCAATAGCTTAGAAGGGCAAGTTTAGCTGGGCCCAGAGAGCTAGACCCGAGTGACCCCTTGATTAATGTGAATCCTCAGAAACGGTGTTCCTTCTGAACAAAGCCAGCAGGATTAAGAAGAAAAATCTTTACAAATCCCATGAAGCCAGAGAGGCGGGTGTTACATAGCTTGGCAGGGCTTGGGCGGCCAAGAGGCATGGCAAACCAGCCGTAGGAAAATTCATATAAGCCCTGGGCACTTGACTCTGCCATTCTGCCTCTGAACCAAGGCCCCAGGGCTACCCACATGCCCCTGTCTGCATGCTCTAAGTTCAGCAGACCAGCTCAGGGTCTACTCAAGCACATATCATTGATTTGGAGATTTGCCTAAGGAAAAGAGCATGTGAGGCTCGCCTCTACTAGGCACTTTCTTTGCAAATCTGCATTTCAGAATGTGGAGAGAGGCATAGACTCCCTTTTCAAAGCTCTCAAGGGCTCACTTGCCGGAAGACAGCTGATTCAGAGAGGGAAGCTTCCTCAATCAGGTCCCATGATGCAAAGCTGGGGTGTTGGCTTACCCCCAAGAACCTTGTCTGCACTTGGTTAGGAACATCTTGGGACCAGAATCCTTAATACCTGTGCATTGACGCCGTTCCACCCCCTCCCAAGCCTCTCCACTATTTGTACTACTTATTTGTTTCTGTTCTTACCCTCTCTTTCTTATGTCCCTAGTCCCACAGGCTTGTGATGTTAGCCCATGTAGTCAGTGACTGGGTGCTATGACCTATATACTTCATAGCATGCATGGCTTTGTGGGCCTGTGTAAAACTCTAAACTGATTTTTTTAATTGGGAGAGAGAAAACTCCAAATATCTCTCTTCCCAAGAGGACCTGATCCCAATGCTGGGCTAAACTCTAAGGGATGACCCTTTCGCCAAGGCATAAAGTTCAAGGTCACTGTCAATTCCAAAGTCTTCATCCATTGCCGGTGCCACCTCCCATGAGCTATTTTCGTTTGTAACTTCTAATATGTAGCTTTTCTTGTTTTGTTTTGTTTTTTGAGACAGGATTTCTGTGTGTAGTCCTGGCTGTCCTGGAACTCACTTTGTAGACCAGGCTGGCCTCTAACTCACAGAGATCCACCTGCCTCCCAAATGCTGGGATTAAAGGCGAGTACCACCACACCTGGCCTACCTAGCTTTGACTTACCCTCTAATGTCTGATCTTAATGAATTCCTATAAGTCAAAACTGAACACTGAACTTTTTGCTTTAGGTACATCCTTCAAAACATGGAGGCGATGATGTGTCTTGGGATGGTGAAAAATTTTCTGGTGCGTGTCTTCTTTCTATTGTAATAAAGCAATGGTAGCGCAGTAATACTTAGAAACCATAACTTTCATCTACAAAGAAGAGTAGAAAATGTGAACAGAGGAGTTTTAGAGGGATGGGCAAAAAGCATTCCTAGTAGTTATTAGATTGTGGGGTAAGAAAAGTCAGAGTGAAGAGTGCAGGGTCCAAGTTCGTCAGCCTCTCGTTCTGCAGTCTTCCATGGGGTGCACACACGTCTATGGCACAGGTTCTCACTATAATTATCCCATATATAATAGAAATAGATGTAAGTATACAATCTTCTTCTGTGGTTAATGAATTCTGGGAAACGCTGGGATGTATTACTCAGGTTTTGTTTTTTTTTATTGTGAAACTTCCCAGAGATTATTTTTACATGCTGATGTACAGGGTGAGTTTCCAAGAAGAAAATATAATATGTGATAATTTCCAGTACCGAGTATTTAGACTGTTTATTTTCTGCAGAGAACAAGTCTGTGGGCTGAGTTTAGGACCATCCTGTGGGGCCCTTGTTGAAGGCTCCTCCCATCGTGAACTCAGAACCAAGATGTGCAAAGCTGGGAAGGGACCAGGGAACACACCCTTAATGTCTACTCAGGTCTATGTGTGACTCACCAAGAACATTAGTCTTCCTCAGAATTCAGTGTGTGTCCCGGAGGATGTAGGAATGCCAACTGGGTTGACAGGAATGCCAAGGGGTCTCCTTCTAGAGGAAGGAGTTCAAAGAGCCTTATACAGTCTCTTAATGTTGCCCCAGTTCCCATTTTAGGAAGAATATCTTCCCCTGACACATACATACACATACGCTGGCTAACGGCTTTTTATCCAAAGTCTTAGGGATAATTTATACCAATAGCAGCCTAGCGTTGCTGTGGCAAAAGGACACACACCGCAGTGCATGCAGATGGCCAGCTGATTCACGTTTCTGGGCTCCTTGAAGTTCAGGGAAAGCTACATGGAAGACAACTCCCAGCTCATCCTCCACTGCAGGCCCTCCTCCCTCTGACTGCAGGCCCTCCTCCCTCTGACTGCAGGCCCTCCTCCCTCTGACATCACAAATAGCATGCTGATGTCAACACCATGCCAGTTTCTCCAGTTAGGTTTTTCCCTGATATAAGGGAGGGACAACTGCCTTAGGGACATGGACAGGCCATGTGAGCTTCAGTCTGTCCTGAGTCTTCCTCCCATTCACTGCCCGTGTTCTAGTGGAAATGCCTGGCTTGGCTGCTTTAGATTCAGCTGATTCCTTTCTGCCTGCCCAGAACATCCCGACTCCTGTTCTCTGTCTATTAAAATTCCACATATGGGGCTTGGGGAGGACAGTTTGCTTGATAAACTGCTTGCCTCAAAAACGTGAGGGTCTGAGTTTAATCCTCAGAACCCAAGAGAAAATGCCAAGCATGGTGGTGTCACCTTGTAATCCCAATGCTGGGAAGTGGAGACGGGAGAATCCCTAGGTGCATTGCTGGCCAACTGTTCTTGCTTAATTAGTGAGATCCGGGCCAAGGGGAGAGCCTGTCTCAAGGCAGGTATCGTTCCCAAGGATGACACCTGAGGCTGTGGTCTCCACATATATGTACACAAGCACAGCCCCCCTCAACATGCCTATACAAACATACGTGCACCAAAACTAAAACGTCATGGCTCGGTGCAAAGCCGATCTCCTTTAAGAAGCTTTGTCTATACCCAAGTAATATACAATTCATTCCAATCATAAGCAAGCCTCCATATTAACCATTATCACCCCCTTCCTCATTTTGCTTTTATTTTAACCTTAGATATTTCCTGGTAGCTTTTACCTTTCAGCACTGGGGATCCCTCTTTGTTAGTCCCCCCCAGCCCTGTGCCAAAACACGGAAATGCTTGTTGGTGAATGTACTCCATGACATTCCAACTGCCTGCTATCCAGAAGACCTTCCTGGGTTCTGGAGTGTGAATCTCTCGCATGGCATGTGCCATCGTCACTCGGGAAGCGAATTAGAAAATATACTCTAGAGAGAATAGAGTCGAGCGGGACAGAGGTGCTAACGATACGAGAGTGGGAAGAGAAACAGCAATTAGAAACCGGGAAAACCATAAAAATCTCTACCAACAGTAACCGTAGTCAGAACACCCTTTCTGCTGCTAGAGAGAGCAACATCTAGTCAGGATTGTTGGTTTATTGATTTCAATAAAGCAGTGACGTTATGTGGGGAATCCTCATGGAGGATGATAAATTTTATTTATTATCACACTAAGTCAATAGTGAATGTAAATTGAAAATACCCATGTTTGTCCTTCATATAGGAACAGTTTCCCCCGAAGGAAGGGACAGAAAATGAATGACGGTTTTACTTATAAGCCTTTCAAAATGTGTGACTCTTACCTGTTCATAAATATTACCTTAGCTCAACCAACCAACCAACCAACCAACCAACCAACCAAACAAACAAACAAGAACAGGCGTCTAGTTAGAGCACCTGGGGCCAGGTGCCTGGATGTTTACATACTTCCAGGGCCAGTTTGATTCATGCCATTCTACAAAGCTGGCGATAGATGAGGTTATCCTCAGGTAGGGAGACAGACTTGGTAAAAGAAATTCTTAAGTCATTTACTTATCGATGTGGTGTCTACAGTCCCCTAAGTGAAAATAAAGGACTATTTTGGTGAGCCCAGAGGATGCGGGATTGGTCACAAGACAAATGTAACTATGTGTGTGTTGGTGGGGGAAGTCTGAGAGAGTGGACTTTATATAATAGTACTCCAGAGAGAAGAGGATTTGGGAGCTTTTAGCCTTAGTTGTCTTAGCACTAGCTACCACTGCTGTGCCTGCATCACACTCAGAGCAAAGGCTGCTTAGCCTGGAGGTTAAGGTGGGACATTTACTTACCCGTCAACAGTCTGTTGTGGGACAATGGTCTGTATTCTGTCAATTATATTTTAAATAAACGTTGATTGACCAGTAGCAAACAGGAAGTATAGGCGGGACAATCAGGCAGGAAGTAGAGGCGGGGTGATGAGAACAGGAGAATTCTGGGAAGAAGAAAACTTATTCTGCAGTCCTGTCCACCTACAGAAGAAGCAAGATGTGACTGCCCTGCCGAATAAGGTGCCAAGTCATGTGGCTAACAGAGATAAGAATAACGGGCTAATATAAGTTGTAAGAGTTAATAAGAAGTCTGAGATACTAGGCCAATCAGTTTATGTAGACCTCTGTGTGATTTCTTTGAGACATAACGACTGCAGGAACCAGGTAGGACAGAAAACTCAGTTAACAGCAGTCTACTTGGATGGGGTTGGAGGTGGCTGTATCTCAGAGTACTGTTCCTTATTGCAGTCTACTTGGCTGCAAGAATAATTTTTAACCTGCCACAAGATGGTAAAATAAATACCTATACAAGAAACGTAGTGAGTCTGAGGTCAGAACATCAGTGGGGGCTGCTATAGGTGCCCCTTCACTTTGGGGCCTTTGCTTTGAAAGCAGAGGAGCACATCCAGTCCTGAGCATGTCTAACATCAACCAAAGAGGTCGACATTTGTCCCTCTTCTGTTCTTCGTGAGGTAAAAACACTTTCTGGAAACAATGCTCTATGTCCTAACCCTCCCCTCCATCTGCTTTCTCTTCTTTCCTCACCATTTACTTGATAAACCTCCATCTCCAATCAGGAAAGGATGTGTTCGAGAGAAGGCTTACAAGCTGCGCTGATTTTCTGAGGCCCAGTTCCTGCTTCTGAGCTGAGGGAATGATTACTGCACAGGGCTGTTTCTAGGACTGCTTGAGGTCAAGGTCCAACTTGTCATGGGCCATGATTGTGATTGTGAGAGTCTGGTAGGTGACTTGATGATGCTACGGGATAGTTTCTATTTTTTTTTTTCTAGCCTGTAAAAACTGAGCCATCTCTCCAGCCCTTGTTTTGTTTTGTTTTTCTAATGAAAACACTTGTTCCAAGAGTCCTTAGAAGAGCAAGAGAGGTTCAGCATTGAGGAGTGCTTGCTGCTCTTGCAGAGGACTTGGGTTTGGTTTTCAACCAAGTCAGGTGTCACAAGACTGTAACTCTAGAGAGAGTACACACACACACACACACACACACACACACACACACACACACACAGAGGTTTATCTCTGTGAGTTTGAGGCCAGCCTGGTCTACATTCCAGGCCAGCCAAGGTTGCAATGTTAGACCCCATCTTAAGTAACAACAACAACGTTTAAAGTGAGAAAGAAACCTTAGGGATGCAGCTTAGAGGTCGGTGGGGTCGCCTTTGATTCTTGAGAAGCCCACAGACAGTGGCAAGTGGGTGAACACTTGAGCTTCCTAAACAGCATGTCAGGCACTGTTGCAGGCACTTTCCACGAATCTACTCACTTCACCTGTGCGCTATCTTTAGGAGCTAAGCACCTCATGGTTCCTATTTTATAGCTGAAAAAAATTGAGGCTGAGAGGTAAAGGACTTGCATACACAAGTCCATGGCATACACAAGATTCAGTCCCTGGCAAGCTGGCTCTGGAGCTTCTCAGGGCCACCCTGCACCCGTTGACCTGGGGGCACAAAGGCTGCACTCACCTGTGCTGTTGAGGCTTTCCTCACAGGACTGCCAGAGCCCTGCATGGAACCCGAGCAGGATGAATTTGTCGTCACCCGTCTCCCAGATGTACTGGACAGTCTGGCTGTCGCCGTGCTCCTTGCCAGTGCTGTTGCTGGCCTGGCTGACCTGAATGCAGTTCACTCCCCGCAGGGGGTCCTGGCACAGTGGTTTTGTCGTCCGTCGGATCCCCTCACACCAGTGGCTGCTGCCTATGGCTGCAAGGGAGAAGGCAAGAGCCAGGCAGATGGGGAGGAGGGTCAGTACCCGCTGCCACCTCGCCCTGTCCATGGCGGAATGAAGTTCCTAGTGCCAGCATGCCCAAGAACCCCCTCCTCTCTGCCACTTCACGGTCTCCATCCCCCAGCCCTGCCATCTGGCATCCTGACACAGCTTATTCATGGTCCCCTGGGGAGCCCAAGTTTATTCCAGCGTACAGCATTTATGTAAGTATTGTGGCCCGAGATAATCTCCTGTGAATTTCAGAGTGGGCCTTTCTGTCTTCCCTAGGATGAATATGTGCAGGGGACATTGGTCCATTTTCTAAACTGATAGAAACCACGCGTAACAGAATTTTACTTCTTTAACCATTAAGTGTAGAGTGCAGTGGCAGTCAGCATGGTCACATGGCTGTGTCCTGTCCACCTCCATCTCCAGAACTCCCCTCAGCCAAATCCAAAATCAAAGCTCTGCCACTGTTAAACAATTTTCCACTCCCAGCTCCTGGCAGCCTCTGTTGTCCTTACTGTCTTGGAATTCTACAAAAAGCGACATAGAATTGTGACCATGCAGTATTTATCCATCCTCTGTGTCTGGCTTATATCACACAGTGCGACATCCTCAAACTCCATCGCGTAGCATATGTCAAAGACTCGTGACTCTTTGCAAGGCAGAATAATATTCCCCTGTGTTTGTTTTATCACAGCTAGTTTTCCTGCTTATTTCTGGGATAATAATATTTCTGGATGGCTGGGTTGCTTCCTTGGACAGTCGTAGCACACTGGCTTTGACTGAAGTCCAGGACTGTTTGGGTGGGTGTCAGGACAGCCCACTGCACTCTTACTTTCGGAACTGAGGAGGTTCAGAAGCATAGAACGCTTTCTTAAAAAAATAAATATTAGCTTCCAAATCATTAGGTTTCATTATGACATTTTTCAAACAAAATTTTCTTTTGTTGTTTCTCTTTCTACCTTCTTTGCCATCCACCCTCTTCCTGCCCTCTCAGCTGCCCACCCGCCCAGTCACTCTCTTTCTACCTCCAGGACACATGTGAGGTTTTTTACACTCTCGCTCCGCTTTCCTAACTTCTCCTGCTCCCCCCTCGTGCTCTCCTGTCTAGTTTCACAGACCACACCCACTCTCACAAACCTTTGTTTGCATACAGAAGCATTAGACGTTAGGGACCGCATATAAGAAATATGAAAACTTGGGGGAATTTCTGGGCTTGTTTCTTCTCCAGCCGTAGGAAAAAGAAACTGCGGAGGACTGGTGTTTAGCTCAGGGACTCGGAGAAGCAAAACACGGGCAGGTTGCCTCAAAGTTTGTGTATTGGACAGAGTGAAGAGTGATGTGTGCTCAGCTGGCTACAGAAATCACACCAACCAGGGGACTCAAAGCCCTTGGGCCGTCACTCATGTCCTCCCAGAATGGAGCACTGTTGGAGTGATGTTGAAGATCCTGTGGGAGTGTAAGGCTAGGCCCCGCCCCTTTGGTGGCCGAGTCTAGAGGGCTGGGACGAGTGTGGAGTTTCCCAAGAAACCAGTCTTCTAGTTACGTCTGAAGAATAAAACAAAAACTAAACCCAATGTTTTTAGGACAGGGAAAGGAAAGGCAATTAGGAGCTCCAGGAAAAGTGGAAATTTACATAAGAAACTCAGTAGGCCTGAAACCAGGAAGGGAAGGAGAGCCGGAAGAGTCTGTGTGGCTTCAGAAGACCGCTGCCTCCTCATTACGTGTGAGCAGCACTAGAGACATCCAGATGTAAACGGGCAGTGATATTTGTGTTGTGTCTCTCCATCTGTTCTTCCCTGCTGGCAAGGCCTGAGCACCTGTGTTCTGTGCTCTTGGTAGCCCTAGAAACCAGGCAGGGCTCTCACAGACAGGTTTACCACGTTTTGTCACTAGATGGCATCCATCCCGATAGATGTCAGGTGGGAAAGTTGTACCGACCAGGCCAAGGCAAATCCTTTCAGGAGGGAGGAAAAGGAGAAATGCTTTTGAGAAACATTCAAAGAAGTGAGATGGAATATTCGTACAAAGCAGGTGTTTTCTCCCCCACCATGCAACCTGGGATCTCCCCTTTGATGTGTGTAGAATAGCTTTACAGCCACATTACACACATACACACACACGCACACACGCACACACACACCACATACACACATGCATGCACACACACATGCATACACATACACACCTCATACACACACATCTTGCATGCACACACACACCACATACATAACACACGTACTCACACCACACACACATGCATATACATGCACACACACCTTGCACGAACACACACAACACATGCACACATACCACATACACATACATGTATACACATACATACCACACACACACACACCCCTTTCACACACACACACCACATACACAATACACACACACACACACACACACACACACACACACACACACACACACACATTTTCCTCCCTCCCTGCCATCTTATTCTGCTCTCTGTCATCCCAAAGAGATGACCACGCTGATTCTGGAAATCACAAAAGCCCACCTGAGAGTCCTTTTCAGACTGATCTTTTCCCTATTAAGGTTTGAATCTTGCCACACAAGGGTTTTAAGATTTTTAGGGACTTTTATCTAGTGGTATTCACCTGTTTTCCCCTGAATGTTCAGAATTCACTGGTCGTGATCATCTAATGGAGATGCGCTATGGTTTGACTTAAATGTAAAAAAAGAAAGGGGTGGAGGCTGAAGGGAGGGGAGGACAGAAACCTGCTTTTTTGACTCCTGTCATTCTGACATTTTGTCTATCACCTTCCACTTGGGTCTACAATTGGAAAAGTTGGAGAGAATGCTGGGAACCATTTAGACAGAGGTAGGATGAGGGGGCCCAAGCAGAGCCTTCGAGACAGAGAAGCACCTGCTAGCGAATAGGAGCTTGCTCTGAGACCAGAGTGATGAAGAGCAGCCCCTGACCAGGTAGCTGAGCTCAGGAGATTTGCTAGAAAGGGGATGGAAAGTTCTGTAACTGAAAACTGAAGATGGAGTGTTGGCTAGTAAGTGGTGGGTCATGAATTCCATAAGTATCCAGGTGGTCAGAGCATCATTGTGTTCAGAACACAACGGCCTGCTCAGAACACGTGGGCAATTGGGAGGTGCCAATCTCGGCGCTTCCTACCCATTGTTTTGCTATTGTGTAGATGTAAACCTCATCACTGAATGGGCTCTGGCTGCAGACCTTGGGTCTGGAGGTGCTGTCTCTGAGACAGGCAAACTGCCCTTGTCATCTTGACACAACCAGAGCTCTGAGGTGGCTCTGCCTTTGTGGCTAGCCCCGGAGCAGTTTAGAAAAGTTTGATGCCTTAGAAAGAAATTCTGCCGTAAAAGATACCCACCTGGCATCCCGGTCCATCCTCTCCAGCTATCCGAACCTCAGTCTGGTCGTGTGCACGGAGCAGAATCCTCAGAATGGAAAGCATGCCTTGCTTTTTCTTCTGGGCCTGCTGAGGAAGTCCCAGGCAGCATAGCCGTCTTGGGGTAGGTCTGGGAAAAATCTCCCAAGATTTTAGGAGGGGCAGGCGGGGGATGAGAAACTTGGAGATTCGGTAGATCGCTGTCGAGCAGTTCAGACACTCAGCGGCCTGCAGAGGACTTGTGCAAACACTTCCTCTCTGGACAAGGAGGAATGCAGGAGGCCACCGCCTGTGGTACATCTTGGAGTGCTGGAGGGATGTGCTCGCACTTGTGAAAGGGCGCCAGGAAGATGAGGCCCCAACCAAGGCCGGCAGTGGTCAGTAGAAGCAGAAAGGGGTCCCTGCCCCAGGTACGGGCACAACCGGTGGGCATCCCTGTGTCCCAGAGGACCGATTCTCTCCACTCTCATGGGATGCGTCTGCTCTGGGTCCCTAGGAGGTCCTTCCTCACCCTGCTTCTGCTGGCTTCCATCAAGCAAGTAAGAACAGATTTTTATTCCTTGTTCTTCTTAATATTATCAGTTGTGCATGTTTTCTGATTGTAGAAGCAGTTGAGGCCCCTTGTAGGCAATTTGGGAAGAAGAAAACCATGTTAAGAAATGATGCTCAGCCATAACCACAGCGTTCTGTTCACTGCTTGTTTTTGGCTGGATTTTTAAAAATCTCTTGTCTGTGCATTATTTTACAGAGCTGAAATAATGAAGCACACATTATTTGTGCCCCAGTCTTCCCTTTACATCCTAGAAGCACCTTCCGTGTCAGCATTCACGAGTGGCTGCTGGTACCCCCTGTACACTCTTAGCCCCTTCCCTGGTTTCAGTGGTCACGGGGAGTCACATTTCTGTGTCTTTTCTCTTTTCTTTTGTTCAAATTGCAAATATTTATGATTTTTCTATATTGTATTCTATTCTCTATAATATTAAAAGACATAGAACCCAAAGACTTACCAATGTAAGATACAAATCACAGTGATCCCACCAACTGGAGCTCACCCTCACTCACATTGGGGGGCGACACACCCAACACTTCCCCACTGTTCATTCACATCCACGTTAAAACAGTGAATATTCATGTTATATTTATTTTGTGATCTTTTTTTAGTGGCAAAAAACACAAACAGCAGGAACACACCAATAGTCAGTGGCACCGAGGTTGGTGTCAGGTATCCCCACTTCTATGATCTTGTTCCGTCCGCTCAGCAGCCCTGTGAGGGAAAGTCTCCCCACTTTCTAGAGGGGGACCCTGAGCCTGTGGAGGGTGAGGAATACTGCTCCACACTTATCAGCCCAGACCCACTGTAGGAGAGCAGAGGGCTTGCTGGATGTATTAGCATGTCCTTCACAGATGCCTCAGTAGCTTGCTTGATTGTTATCCAAGGGGGTTACCCCTTTCCTTCCCCTTCCCTTCCCAAGGTCTCATTTCTTCCGGGCTGTGGTTGGAAGGGACCCCCAATGTCACTCATCCAAGAAAGAAAACCCCCTAGGGAATGGCTGCTGTTCACCTTTGGCTCTTAGTCCCCATTTGCCGCGCTTCATAATGAAAGCACCCTGCATCCAGGGAGGGCAGAGGTGCCAGGTCTCATAAATGCTCCCTTTCCCAGCCCTTCTGCCTGAGACTAGACAGGCAAGCATCACTGCTGCTGACTGGCTGCCTCTAAGCTTTCCCTCGGGCTGCCTTCATCCCTCACGCACTGCCAACCTGGGGACAATTGGTGGTCTTGAGGAATCTTGCTATGGTGAAAAAGTCTTACAAGGGGACTATATCCCCAAGGAGCAGGTGACCTTGGGCTGCTGTTTCCACTATGACTGGCGATGCCATTGTAGGGAAAGCTGGCAGAATGCCATCCTTGCTTGCAATCTCTGGGTATCCTTATAAGCACCCAATGTCTCCAGCAGTTTCATCCTGTTTATTTTTTATTCCTATGTGCCCAGCTGTCCAGCACACACCAGCACGGCTGCAGCCCCGATTCCTATGTGTGCAGCTGTCCAGAACACACCAGTACGACTGCAGCCAAATCCTATGTGCCCAGCTGTCCAGCACACACCAGCACGGCTGCAGCCAAATCCTATGTGCCCAACTGTCCAGCACACACCAGTATGGCTGCAGCTCTGATTCCTATGTGTGCAACTGGCCAGCACACGCCAGCACGGCTGCAGCCTTGGTCATACCACTGGAAGACGCCTCCTTACACCTTATCCTGCAGAATGAGAAGAACATGACTACTGGACCCATTAAATAGATGGGCGTGAAGCTCCAGGGAGTTACAAGACTGCCTTCCCTCACGTACACTCACGAGCTGGGGAGCCGTTGTGTCTACCCAGCAGACTGTGGCCCTGCGCCCTGTCTTCTCTAGCACTCTGGGGAGCTGCTGACATATGACTCTTTGTGTATAACAGCAGCCTCTGCGGTGCTTCAGGCTGGCCAGCAACACTGACCAAATCGTACCTTAGCCCTTTCACTCTGGTGTTTCTGTATCGAAAATGCCCTTGGGGGAAGGGTCTCCTTGCCCCTTGCCACTTAGACTGTGTGTGCAGAGACTGTGTGTGGTTCTGTCTATTCTGCAGCATGTGGCTGTGGATCGGATGAATTTCTCCTTGATTATCCAAATTTAACCTCAGAGTCTTTAGCTGTTTATACATTGCTAGGCTTTGTGTAGACATTCATGCAATTCGCTCATACATGAGTTCCCTGCCCGGAGATATAAATGACTGTGGCATGTGTGTGCTGGCAGGAAATCTTCATAAAATCCACTTAATGAGGAATTCTCAGAGCTACGTTAGCCTCTAAACGCTGGTGGTGAAATGGTGCTGGCTCACACCCCCGCCCCTCATTTTCATTATTAGGCATTAAAAACAAACTCTTAAAGGATCCAGGAGAAGTGGGTTTTAAACATCGCTGGTTGGTGTGTGAGAGGGAGCAGGGCTTAAAAAATTAAATTGGCAAGGATAAACAGTTCAGTGGTACGCGATCAAAAACCTTTAAAAACGTGTGGACTCTTTGCCCCAGAAACTGCGATTCACACGCAGCCCCCAAAGGTCTAGCTAGGAAGATTTTCATCCTACTAGCAGCTTCTGAAAGGAACTTTGGCTTTCTGTGCTGGGGGGCTTAAAAGATAAATTATATAACATTCGTTCACCGAGTTATATGCAACAATGAAAAGGGGTGTTGAATAAAAGCAATAATAAAGCAGTTTTGGGTACAGCTTGAAATGGATGCTCCTTTGAGGTAGAAAAATACAGTTTGCAGAGCAATATGGCTTCCTTTGTTGGTTCGAATAAAACAGCACAGAAAAGGAAGTAAGATGAAGCGTGTGTGGAGAGAAGGGTCTGGGAGGGAAGTGCTTTCTGGGGTGAAGGCTGTGCTCCCTCTCTCCCCCGTTTCTGGCTGCCCATGCCTTTCCCTTTCTTTGTTCTGTGGTGTACTTAGTTCTCTAACACAGAAAGAGATTTGTGTGAGCAGAGTCAATCAATGCTCTCCTCCCACACACACCTCCTCCATCTCTTCCCAGCCGAGCTGGTCAGGGATACAGGCTGCCTAGGTAGGGAGAGAGGGATAAAGGTCAAGTTGGCCTCCCTGTGCATCTCTTCTCCCCATTACGCTGGAAGCTTAGCTGGGTTTGGCTTTAGACTTGCCTCTTGTCTTTCTGGTGTGTTTTAAATAAGTACCAGCGAAGATGTCAGTTTGTCTAGCTTCCCTAGGCTGATCAAATTCAGTAGGCTTTTTTTTTTGTTTTTTGTTTGTTTGTTATTTGTTTATTATTATTATTATTTGTTTTTGTTTTTCGAGACAGGGTTTCTCTGTGGCTCTGGAGCCTGTCCTGGAACTAGCTCTGGTAGTCCAGGCTGGCCTCGAATTTACAGAGATCCTCGATTTTTAGTCTCTAGTTCGTTTCCCACTGTGTGTGGTTTGTGTATATGGTTGCACGTGGCTGTGTTTGGGTGCACATGCCCAGGCCGGAGGTTGGTGTCAGGTGTCCCCCTCAGTTGCTCTCCAGCTTGTTTTTTGAGACAGGGTCTTTTCGCTGGCCCAGAATCTCACTGATTCGGCCAGACTAGCTGGTCTGTAAGATGGGGTTCCCCCGTCTCCTCCTCTGTAACTCTAGAATTTTAGGCATGTACCCCCACGCCTGGTTTTTAAAGTGGGTGTTGGGAATCCAAATTGAGGGCCTTCTGCTTGTGTGGCAAAGCCCTTTGCTGACGCTCCAGCTACTGCTTTTCTACTTTTGCCATCACCATTAGTCCTGGCGAATAGCAAGGGAACTGGGAGAATTCAGTCCAGAGACTGAGCTCATCTTCCCCTCCTTAGGTAGGTCTGGGTAAGGAGCCCCAGGGTGCAAATAGCCCTTTAGGCAAGGGAGGGCCTTACTTTCATGATTTTGAGGGTTATGGAAACTTGTTGATTAGTTATTAATTCATCTGCTGAAATTTTTGAAAGAAGATATGAGTCATTTGATCTCCGATTAGGATGTTTGTTCCATGAAATGGTATCTTGATAAATTTACTTGGTGCCTCTTGGGATCCAACTCAGAAAGGACTATTATTAACGGAGATTCAAAGCTCACTGGAAAATGAAGCCAGGAAGTAATGCCAGCTGTTATAGCCTCAGGGTTCCTCCTTATTGACTAATCTCAAGGTTCCCAGACTGTGTGTCAAGGTGCCCAGGACACCATTGGTGAATTCAGTGGGTGCTATGGGAAATCTTAATATTTGGAGGAAATAGTGATTGCGTCACTCTCCTGATACTGTGCGAACTCTTAACTCAAGATGTTCATGTCTTCTTCTGTTTTTGTCGTGCTAGAGACAGAACCCAGGTCTTGCACAAGTAGGGCAAGCATAGGGATGAACTACATCCCAAGACCTGAATTCAATTAATTGACATAGTCTCATGTAGACCAGGCTGGCCTTGAACCTACAGTGTAGCTAAGGTTTGACTTGAACTCTTGGTCCTCCTGCCCCTACCCCAAGTATGGAGCCTCATAGCTGTGCTCCATAACACCATGTCTGCTTGACTTACTATTAGACCATGAAAGATGTGGTGGTCTGCAGGTACTGTGCTTAAACAAAAAAAAAACAAGTACCAAACAGAGCAAAACCAGCCTGGAACAGGAAATGGAGGTGGTGATGTCTAATCCCATCCCAAAGTTTGAGAAATTGTGCAATGTCCGATAGGTTCAAAGTTGTTAAAATATAAATATTTACAAACTATTTGGGCTTATTTACTTAATAAACAGGGCCTTAGTTTCTCTCCCCCCACCTTATTTTGGTCTGGGAATGCCTTGGAAAATTACTGAGATAGTTAAGGGTGCCACAAACTGAGAAATTTTGGAAACCTGTGAACCAACGCTGTGACCACACAAGCCTTTTTCTTAAATGTGTGTGTGTGTGTGTGTGTGTGTGTGTGTGTGTGTGTGTGTGTGGTCCAGAACCAACGCCACCAAGGAGACACCCCTGTCCTGAGGCCTTTGGATGTTTTTCTTTCTAACGTTAACTCTCCTGTCCATAGAACCTTGGAGATGCAGCTTACGTTTGAGGGCTTTCCCGTTATGAAAGTTAGTCTAGCAGCTTCTCTCCTCTGCCGAGGAGGAAAGAGGGATACGAGGATGAGCAGCGTGTCTCTAGCCAGTAAAAGGGGCTGATCCATCATGTGCTAGAGATATGGTAGGTGCAACTGCAAGGTACACAGGAGCCTCTGGAAAACCGGGCAGTACTCCTCCTAAAGTCCTTCAAATTTAATTAAACACACACAATCAGCTGCTACCCCCAAAATAGTGACCCCATCTAGAACTAATGGGTGGTCTGTTTTGGTCACCTAAGTTGTTAGGTCTGATCTGCCCCCCCCCATTAGTGTACTTTCCCCCAGCACCTTGGTGCGCATGCTCGCACGTGTGCGTGCATTTTGTGAGTGTGTGTGTGTGTGTGTGTGTGTGTGTGTGTGTGTGCCCTTCTTAGTCACGTTGTTAGGCTCCTCTCAGCAAGATGCTTCTTTTCTGGAGATCTCCATGGTCTCAGGAGCGCTCAAGCATTTCTTTCCAAGTGTGTGGAAGTTTGGCCTGATTATTACATTCCCTTGAAATGTCAACCTTAAAGATTTTGAAAAAAAAAAAACAGTCATACTTTTGTGAAAACAACTATAGTTATATTATGGAGTAAATGCAAAATTCAGATTTTTTTTAATTAGAACATGAGACACCAAGGAAATTCTGTTTCTTGGCTTGGGCTACTTCAGAAGGTAATTTGAGGACCCGGGTGTGAGAACATAGGCCCAAAGCTGGACCCGCAGCTACTTGGGATTGATCTTGTGGATTTTTTGTTTTTGTTGTTGCTTTGGTTTTTTCATTTGTTTGGTTCTGCTTGTTTGCTTTCTTTCTAAGGCAGAATCTCACCATGGAGCTCAGGCAGGCCTAGGACTCACAGTTCCCCTGTTCTAGACCACCAAGTGCAGAGATTTCAGACAAGTGCCACCATGTCTGGCTGTGACCATGCTTCTGTGTGCTTAGGTTACAGGATCTCTCCTGGAGGACACAACTCGGAAGTGGGCTCAGTATAAGGAGAAGTGTCTGAGAGACTTGCGCAAACAACCTTCTGGTAAGCACGGGCAGTAGCTATCTATGACTGTGTAACAAGTTGCCCTTGACCTTATTGGCTTAGAGCCACGATAATCATTTACTGTCTCTTGTGGTTCATGGCGTAAGGATTCAGGGCCACTGAACATGGCCTCTTTCAGCACTGTAATATCTGGGATGTAGCTGAGAGGTTCAAAGACTGGGGACTGAAATCACCAAAGGGACTTTCATGATTGTATCAGGGGGCTGACACTGGTTCGTAGAGTAAAGCAATGACTGGTGGCCAGGATGTGTCCACCCAGCCTCTCTGCGGAAGCCAGGCTTCCTCATACTGTATGGCTTTGCTCCTTAAGGGTTAGCCTGGCCAGAAGCCATGTTCTCTCTGTAAATGGGCCTTGAAAGTTCTGTGTCGTTTCTTCATATTCAATTGGATAGGACAATTAACCCGGCTCGGGGGAAGCAATATAGACTCACTTCTCATGGTAAGGTAGGATGGACTGCATGCAGGGGCAGCTGCTCTGATTGAAGCGCTCTCACAGCGCACTTACTGCCTTGCCATCTGACACGAGTGATCCCTCTAGGCTGGCCTGAGAAGCTATTTAGGCATGTGGGGGTTCCCCATCTCCTGGGGGGAGGTGTTAGCTGGATCTGAACAATAATGTAATTCCTCTTTTCCAGTCTACACTATGTTTAGAGCACACTAGCAAACGTGTTGTAGGTGAGCCAGTCCATAGCCTTGCCTGTCCATATGTTGACATTATCAGGGGAATCCATATATACTACATTCACAAAAAAATGTCAAACCAAATCAAAGAAAACAAAACCATAGAGTGCCTTGACTCACTGCTTCTGAACATCACGGATGGATAACAGATAAAGGCCACCCTCCATCCTCTTGACATCTGTCAATCATTCCATTCAGCTGCCCAGCAGTGCTAGAAGCGACTCTACTTCCCCCGAGAACGTGACTCAAAGTCAGCACCCCTAGCCCTTTGCGAAGTCCCCCTTGATGCCAACTACAAAATCCACTGTTCATTTCAGGGGAATACTACTTTTGAGATCAAAGTAGGGCAGGTCATCTTATGGAGCAGAGTGGCTACGTAAGCAGAGCAAGTGTTGTTACCTGGCAACTAGGTTGGCAGTGACCCGCAGTAGCTCATAGCTGGGCTAACCCGGGTTGTGTCTACAGAGGTTTAATGCTAGGAACCTGCTTATTTCTCTCAAGAAGTCCTTGCGTTCCACCCTAATAAGAAGGAGGTGGGAGAAGGTGATGCTTGGCTTCTGAGAAGCCCAGGAACTTGTGGTATGAAATGCTTCCCTCGAGTTCTAGGAGGTTTATCCGGCTGTGTTCTAAGTTTAGACCTTCTAGTTACTAAGAACTGATACATAAACCATTTCCTAAATTTACAGTGACCCAAACTCCTCCAATAATTTATTGAACTAATATTCAAGTGGAGAGTTATAAATACATAGAACAGTGCTAACTATGTGTGACCAAAAGCTGCAACTCCACAGATCCCCTTCGAGCCATCATTTGTCTTGTATACTCAAATTGGTGAACCTTGCCAATTACTTAATTATGGAACACAAGTCACCGACTGGACCCCCAAACATCTTACCCTTGACCCTGAATTTCTGTGAGTTCAGTTAATACAGAACAAAGCAAAACCAGTATGCTACATACAGTGACTGGGGGTCAAATTGGGTAGACAAAGACAGTGTTGGGGCTACGTTCAGCATCCCTGTGTTTCCCCAGTCCCAGTCCCCATCCTTGGCTGCTTCAGAGAGAAGGGTATCTGTGTTGGCCTCTGCAAAGGTTACACCAGCTTAAGTGGGCTCTAAGCTTCTGGGTCTTTCTCTCTCCCTCAGAAGACCCTGTGGGAGAACACTGACATTTGCTCTACCTTCTTTTCTCCCCACAGGCATCTTTTGCAATGGAACGTTCGATCAGTTTGTGTGCTGGCCTCATTCTCCTCCTGGAAATGTCTCTGTTCCCTGCCCTTCATTCTTACCTTGGTGGACTGAAGGTAATGGATCTCTTCCTAGCCATTTCTGACAGTTCCTTTGAAGGACAGATTGTCCAGGCAGAGTAGCCAGAGGAAAGTTAGAAAGAATTCTAACCAAGAGATTCTCCTAAGTCTTCATGTTTAAGGTATTCTTGTATCTCAATATATTGTGTCTTATTTCTTTGCCTCTGCCCCTTCCAAGCACTGGAAAGTGAACCGAGGGTCTCACACATACTAGACAAATATTCCTGTTTCCCCATAATTTGTAGGCTCCTGTCTGCTCCCCTTATACAGTACTTTGGGCTAATGTATAGATTAGAGTCCAGATTCAACTCCCCCAGAACCCGACTGTTGTGGGAAGAACGCAAGGGTCTCAACCTTGGTCATTTGGAGGAAAAGGACACGAGAAAGACTGGGGAGCTCCTATCCGTACAACGGATGGCTTCTTGTACAGAGAAAAATAATCTACGGCTTTTTTTTTTTTACATCAGCTTTGAAAGAAGTATCGTTAAATTGTGTTGTTAATGGGACTTAGATAGAGAATTCAAAACTTTCCAGACAGGAAAATAACAGCCTTGGAGAGAAAGGGAAAAGGTTAAAGAAAATATTGGTGGCAGAATGGATGTATCAGACATGACAGAAATGGAGGGACAGAAAGAAGTGGTAAATAGATTAGGAGAAACAAAAGCAGGAGTCTCCCATCTTTCCCATTAAGCATGACCTCGTGTTCACCTGGCCCTGTGTTAACTTCGTGTCATCTGGATGGTACCTGCTTCTCTTCCCTTTCCTCCCCCATGGTGCGGTGGTAGCTCAGCAGCCTTGCTTCGCTTAGCTGCTTCCTGGTGTCCTTACTGCCCCAGTCTCAGCCCTCACCCCCTGCCACCACCTCCTGTAAAGCTTTGGGAAGTGGCAGCCCCGGTTTTGGCCCCCCGATCTCAAGAACTGAGAATGACATTTGTGACCTTTTGCAACCTGGTCCTGCTGACCTCTCTGGCATCCTGGCCTGCTTTCTCTTCTTCCCCTCCAGTGAAATTCATAGCTCCCAGGCTGATCCATCTGTACAGCTGTCGTTACCAGACACACAGGTCCTTACCCACTGCCTCCGTTTCCATGGTTTCCAAAAGAAAGTAGGAAACAGAAATTATAAAAGGGAAATAGATTGATTTATAATTTGGCCCAGCTCGAGGAGGTAGGAAAGGTCTAATTTCCTCAACACCATGGCCATGGTGACCTACAGCTTGTTGGAAACCGTGAGATGGCAGTAAGAAGATACGTCGATCTAACAGACAGGTCAACCATCCTTTCTTGGAGGAGGGTGAGTCAGCTCCAGGTGGCCTCCACTATCTCTGTTCTCTGTTACAGAGGACTTCTTATTCAATTCAGGTCAGAGCAAAGGTTTCAGGGTGTTATGGGATGGTGGATGTGAGGTCTCTGCCTATTCCAGCCCCGGCAGAATTCTTTGTCTCTCAGCCCATTTCTTTGTGAGGTTCAGGGTCTTGCCCTTTGCATCTTTTTTTGAAAGCAATTTTAAGTTCCAGTTTCTACATGCCTGTTAAAACACACCAATTTTGCAATTAGAAAGAAGTATTAGACTCACATCCCAAAGGAGGGATTTGAGCATCCCTTTCTTTCCCACCAGGACTACAACCCATTTTTTCAGCATGGGATCACAGTTACACGGTCCCCACACCATGATAACTGCACTGTACCACCCCATTATAGCCGTATATATCCATCCTATGATGGCTGCATTGCCTGTACCCCATCATGGCTGCACTGTTCCTAGCCTACACCTATGTTCTCTCTGCTGTTCAGGATGCCTCCTTAAAGCTCCGCCTGCAAGTCCAACTTCAATTTTTACTTTGAATTTTCCATCCTTCTAGAACATTCCTTCAACTTCTTCCCTGAAGTCAATGGACCCCTGTCTTTCTGCGGCCTCTCTTGTACCCGCACAGTCTCTGTCTTAGCGTTTGTAACTTTCATGTGTGTTCCCCCAGCTCAACTTTGAGCTGGGCCCTCCCAGGGGCATTACAACCGACATGGACAGCACAAGTTCCAAGTGGCATTATTGTCATTTTCTCATTTAACCAATATCTAGCGAGTACTCACTGTGTGCCGAACACCATTTTTAAATGT